AATCCCAGATTGTCCCCCTTCCTTTTTTTCCCTCATCGTTTCAGCGGAGTACATTTTCAGTTTATTCAGTTATTCAGATAGGATTACACATTCTTGAAGACCTTGTATGTCGGAAAACATTTTAATGTATCCTCGCACTCAGTTTGGTGGGGCATGGGACTCTAGGTTAGAAATAATTTTTCAGGGATCCCTGGGTGGCTCAGAGGTTTAGTGCCTGCCTTCAGCCCTGAGTGTGATCCTGGAGTCCTAGGATCGAGTCCCGCATCGGGCTCCCTGCATGAGGCCTTGCTTCTCCCTCTGCCTGTGTCTCTGCTTCTCTCTGTGTGTCTCTCATGAATAAATTAAAAAAATCTTTTTTTAAAAATCACTTTCCTTCATAGTTTTCAAGGTATCGCGGGGCACCTGGGTGGCTCAGTCGGTTGGGCATCCAACTCTTGATTTCAGCTCAGGTCATGACCTCAGGCTCGTGAAATGGAGTCCTGCGCCAGGCTCCTTGCTCAGCACAGAGTCTGCACGAGATTCTCTCCCTCCCTCTCTGCGCAGAAAATTAAAGAAGAATTAGCAAAGATAAAGGATAAGGAAATTTCCCAGCTCTAGGGCAGATGGCAGACTGAAAGGGCTCATGAGGGCCTAATATAATAATGAAAAAAAGGGCTAAATCAGGGCAAATCCTCTGTGCCTCTGTTCTCTCTTGAACTTGTTAAGTAGATGTTGGCCTTCTAAACATTCGCTAATAAATATTTGATCTTTTCTCTCCTAGTTTCAATCTCTCTGGCGTGTTCTTTTTCTGTCGGTGAAGTTTCCTCCATCTTACATGCCAACCTTCCTATCAAGTTTCCTGTTTCTGCCACCATTATTTTGGGGTAAGATTTGTTTCTAATTCTCTAAGTGTTCTTTTTCCATATCATCCTATCCTTGCGTCATAGATTCACCATCTTTTCTCTCCCAAAGGAAACTTCTTTAACTTTTCTTTCTCTGGCCCTGCACTCGGTCTCTTGTCCTAGGAGTTCCTTTTTATCTTTTGGATGTTTTCGTCCTCATCTTTCGGGTTAGAGGATTTCTTCTCCTGCCTGCCATGCATTCATATTTAAGGCAGAAGTACTGGAAAGCTGACTGGGTGCTCTTTTGTGCAAAGCCAGAGCTTGTTGGTCCTCACCACAGAGGCGGCTGCCGGGACACAGACCTTTCACGGAGGCACGTGTCCAATGTCAGCATCCGTGGGCCTCTTCTCTTGGCCAGATCGGCCTCCCTGAAGTTGCGCCTCTGCCTGTGTCGCCAGTTGTCAACCATTCCAGGTGCCAAGGTGGGAAAGCAGAGAGGACCTTACCATACCCTGTACCTAGGCTCGACGTTCCTGGGACATGCAAGTTCAGGACCTTTGTGACTCAACACCCGCAGACTTGTGGACTTTCGCTTCTCTGCCAGGACCAGGAAAGAGAGCCTCTCGGCTACTGGCCTTAGAGAAGGAACTTGAGAATCTAACTGTTCCTGACGTAGATTCTCAAATACTTCTTCTGTTTTCAGAAGTACATGCCTCCAATTGCTGAGCTTTCTTCTGGACAAAAAACATTTCTTCTTTGTCTCTTGCAGGTGCTTGGGAGTCCCCTTTCTCTGCTCTGCTCATGTGTGTTCCCCTCCTTCCATCCTCCAACATTTTGTTCTCCTCTCCCATCCTCTTTGTTGTGACTGGTTTATTACTTTTGTTTTAGAAAAATTACCTGGGGGATCCCTGGGGGGCTCAGCGGCTTGGCGCCTGCCTTTGGCCCGGGGCGCGGTCCTGGAGTCCCGGGATCGAGTCCTGCGTCGGGCTCCCTACATGGAGCCTGCTTCTCCCTCTGCCTGGGTCTCTGCCTCTCTCTTTCTTTCTCTGTGTCTATCATAAATAAATTTTTTAAAATCTAAAAGAAATAAAGAAAAATTACCTGTGGAAGTAGGGATAAACGTGTGTTCCGCCTGTGGTGTTCAACAGGAGGCCTCGTCTCTCCCTTTTGCAGATTTCCAGGTGCTCTGAAATCTAATATCTGATGAGGCCACATAAGTAGAGACCTCTACTTCTCCATGTTGAATTACATCATAAGCCCCTCTTGACTGACACTATTACAGAGAACTCCAGGAGGTGTATTTTCTGTAGCCTGGCTATAAAGGTGCGGCACATCCTATTACATAACGTTTCTATTATCAGAAAGACTAGAGAAAAATGTCTGACCATATCAAAAATAGTTATATGGTATGGTAATAGCAATGTACAGCCATAGACTGCAGCTACACTTGCAGAGAGTACAGCATAACAGATGGAGTCGTCGAATCACTGCATTGTACGCTCAAAACTAATGTAACTTGTCAACTATACTTCAATAAATACAAAAAAATAGGGCAGCCCGGGTGGCTCAGTGGTTGAGCATCTGCCTTCAGCCCAAGGCCTGATCCTGGAGTCCTGAGATCGAGTCCCACATCAGGCTCCCTGAATGGAGCCTGCTTATCCCTCTGCCTGTGTCTCTGCCTCTCTCTCTCTCTCTCTGTGTCTCTCATGAATGAATGAATGAATGAATGATCTTTTAAATAAATAAACATAAAAATAAAATAAAATGATGGTATCAGAAAGAGTCTCTCACACTGCAGTCATGACCCCTTAAGGGGTCATGTGAGGATTGTTTTAAAAAGAAAGAAAACAGAAAACTATTAGAGAAAAGCCCTCATTGTAAGAGTGAGTGCTATTGGTGAGCCGTTGGCCTCAATTGTTTGTGTAGGGGAGGCGAGGCACTGTCAGCATGTGAGGTTCATTCCTTAAGGTAGGCAGAGTCAAAAAAAGCATGAAAACCAATATTATAAATAGATATTTAAAGATACTGAATACTAAAAGGAATAAATAAATAATGATATGGAGTCGGGTTTATCCAACTAAAATGCGAAAACCAGTTTACATTACCAAATGCACCTTATAATCCTATTCTGTGAAAGGAAAAAAAAAAAGTTGCATCTTCCTTTTGTTCCTGATTTGCAGGTGTTTTAACCAGAGTAGCACCATGTGCCCTCCAGCTAGTGAGGTTTGCCCCTTCGGCTGACGGCCCCTAACCCCAGGCTTCCTTGGTGGCATGTCCAGGAAGGACCTGGGCTTTGACATCTTTCTCCAGCACCATTTTGTCTGCATTTTTATTGCTGATCTTATTTTTACTTACTGCTGCGTTAGGTGACTTCACACACAGATGTGTCCTCTCTCCGCAGTGCAAAGACACAAAGTGGTGAACCACGAGCGGGCACTCCGACAAACTCTACTTCGCACTATTCCCATCAAAAAAAGCAAGTAATATCCTTGGCGTTAGTGATATTAGAGCCTGCATGGTGCAACCCATCCCCAGAGGAGGGGCCTCGCGGCCTGAGAGCCAGCTCGCGGCGTGGTCCAGCCAACCGCCCCTGGCCGACTGTCCTCTTCTCCCACTTGTGTCACTTCCTAGTGATGAGATGCGGAGACAGTGGGTCCAAGCCCCTGGCACCTTAGGTCCTTGGCTTCACTTGCAACCACCTCTGCCTCTTTCCCCTTTTTAGTCCAACTTCTCCACGGTCCACCTCTTGGCTCTGCCATCACCACCCAGTCACCTCCAGATTCCCAGTTCAAACCCCCTGTTGCCCGGCCATGGCCTCCTAGTCCCCCACTTTCTCTGGTCCCCCCACTGCGACCCCTCTTTGTTCTGTTGGTCCTACCAGCTCTTCACTCCCTATTCTTTCAGAGCCCAGCTTCCTTACTCAGCCTAAAGTGTATTGCCACCAGCCTGCTCTATGCCTGCACCTGCTCAGCCACGTAAGATTAGTTGAAAACAGCAGAGCGCAGGACCTTGGGTGGCCCAGCGGGTGAGCTTCTGCCTTGGGCCCAGGGTGTGACCCCGGGGTCCCGGGATCAAGTCCCACATCAGGATCTCCACATGGAGCCTGCTTCTCCCTCTGCCTGTGTCTCTGCCTCCCTCCCTCTGTGTCTCTCATGAATAAATAAATAAAATCTTAAAACACACACACACACACACACACAGCAGGGCGTGCTGTCCAGCCCTACTTTAAATGGCCCCAAGGGGACAGGCCAGGCTGTCGGGCAATCCCGGAGCTTGCTGCCCTGCTTCAAGACTCGGGGTCAGTCCCTGCATCCCCACACTCGCATCCTGCCCTCCCCACAGCTCATGACCCTGCTCTCGGCCCACTGGCTAGAGTAGGGCAGGTGGGAGCGGGCCCGTACCCCTGACAGTGTCCCCCTTCCTGTGTCGGGGCCCCTCGCTGCCCTCTGACCTGGCTTGCGCCCTGGGCCACCCTGGCGCCCCTCTGGGCCCCTTGCAGAAGCCAGTGTCCCTTGCCGGTGTCCTGCCCACTGGAGGGCTCTGCTCCTGCATCACTCTCCTCTTGCAGGTCATCAGTTGCTCCTCTTAGGCCGTGGCCTCTGTGGGGACTGTGCCTATGGCGATGGAGACACCTCCAGTTCCCTTCCTCCTCCCCCCCCCCCCCCGTCTCTACCCACCCCCCAAGCACAGGTCCCCCGGGCAGCGCTGCAGGGTTCTGTGGCCAGTGTCCCGCAGGTGTTGGGCTGGGCCTCCCTCCCCGCGGGGCTACATTCCTTTCTGGAGGCTCCTTTCTGGAATGCGCTTCCCGGGCCTTCCCAACACTAGAACCTCCCACATTCCTTGGCACCAGGTTCTCTTCCTCCTTTTCAGAATAAGGAATGTTGTTCTCTCTCTGTGTCTCTCTCTCATCATCGTGAACTCCTATGGCTCCCTCTTGGGCCTCCCTTCTCCACGTGTAAGGATGAATGATTGCACGGGGAGAACGCCTGCGTACTCCAGGAGCCTCTGCTTTATAGTCCCCTGGTTAACAACCTTACTTCCATCTTCAGCCTTCATTCTCCTTTGCTGGAACTTAATACACTCACCGGTTCCTGGGATTAGGGCCTCGAAACTCTTTGGGGGCCGTTATTCTGACCACCACACCCTCCTAAGGCAAAAAAAAAAAAAAGAAAAAAGAAAAGAAAAGAAAAGGAAAAAACAACTTCCCTTGAAGGACACCTGGGTGGCTCAGCGGTTGAGCATCTGCCCTAGCCCCGGGTCCCAGGATCGAGTCCTGCGTTGGGCTCCCTGCAGGGAGCCTGAATCTCCGTCTGCCTGGGTCTCAGCCTCTCTCTGTGTCTCTCATGAATAAATTTAAAAAAATTTTTTTTAAGATTTTTATTTAAGAAAACATTTGTTAAATCTCAGTGGGAGTGGGGAGGACCTAGGTTCTTTGTTATTTACTTTCTGTACTTTTTATGTTTAAAATATGCTAGAATTTAACATAATTTTTAAAAGGAAAATCTCTGGACTTGGATAAATCACTTCATGAGAAAACATTTGATTCTAAAAGGCCGAAATTTTAACAAAATTGAACTTGCCCATGTCTTGGGGGGCAACCTTAACATGTCCCTGTTCTTTTTTAAGTCAGGCAAAAGAAGACTCAAAATTGTAGAAAATATAATGAAGCCATGTACCCTGGAGATATTTGAAACGGTTCATTGCTTGGGACCAAGGAAGAAAACTGAAGGCATACCAATCTCGAAAGTCACGATCCCCTTGGTAGTCCCTGATCTTTCTTCTAATATCTGGAAAAAGGTTCCTACAGTGGCTCCACAACCACCTTCATTCAATAGGCAAGCATTGGAAGAAACTGCTGATGCCTCTCATTTCAGCCAGTTCTTTATCATCATTCTTTATTTGCACACCGGTGCCACTCAAGAAGTATTCTGATCTTTTTTATTCCCATTTGGAAACTCAACAAGCCCTTATCATTTTCCACATGGTGAAAAAAGTGGCTTTGTCAAGGAAAACTTTGTGTGGACAGAGCGTTTGGTTCTCTGGGCTCAGTAGCATACCTGGCCAGGCGGCTTTGCTGAAGGCAATCCACGTGCTGTCATGACTCATTGCCCTCAGCATCCACAGGAATTGCTTTGTGCCAGCAATTCTCAAAGGAGTCTTGTTTACTGCCCTGAAAGTCATCAACTCTATCAGAGCCTGGTCTGGACCTCAGCCTTTTCAAAAAATGTTGACTAGAAAAGAGATCAGAGTAGGAAGCTCTTCTCTGTCGCGTGTAGTCCACTAAGTTTACAAAGAATACATCCTAAAGTATGTGATTGAACTTCATGCTTAGGTCGCGTGTGTGCTCTAAAGAGAGACAAACAGACACAGGAACAGAGAGAGAGAGGGAGGGAAGCCTTCTCAGAACAGTTTAAGAGGAGTTCATTCCTGGTTTTGTTACATCATAGGTATTTCTGACCATGAGACTAAAGCAGATCTTCAGATTTAAGGTCCTACACGGGGTATTACGGATACTGCTAAAAGGAACCCACCAACTCACAGCTCAGCACCCTTTGAGGAAGCGAAGACAATGCGGGCAGCACTTCAGGCTTCCCAATGAGGAGAAAGACTTCCTGTGGTCAGAAGCCCACTGAGAAAGTCTTCCTAATTTCTCTACAAGCAGAAATCTTCAATACCTCAAAACACCATAGAATTCTTCTGCAAGTTACTCTTGATCCGATGACTTTGAAATTAAAACATGAATCAGTCATCCTTTTTGGCCCACAGAAGCTTCAACGATGTACCTAACCAAAGATGGTTCCATTAATTTACAGTGGTAGTGATAAGGCACGAATTCGGCTACCTTCGGGTATGTTCTTTGACCTATCTGGGCCAATGTTTTCAGTGTTTATTGCCGTAAAATGAATTGAAGTCAAGTGGATGACATAAATGACATAACCCAACTTTTTTTTTTTTTTTGACATAACCCAACTTCTTATTCAAATCAAAAGCATCCTTTCACCGGAATTTACTACTAAGTAAAGTCAAGGTTGCCTTTGATTTTGTTGTCATTCAAATTAATGAAGACAGGGGCAGGCCGGGTGGTTCAGCAATTTAGCGCCGCCTTCAGCCCAGGGCGTGACCCCGGGGTTCCAGGATCGAGTCCCACATCGGGCTCCCTGCATGGAGCCTGCTTCTCCCTCTGCCTGTGTCTCTGCCTCTTTCTGTGTATCTCTAATGAATAAATAAATAAAATCTTTAAAAAAAAAACAAATTGATGAAGACAGTATTTTGCATAATACCATTTATAGCAGCAAGTCATTGCTTACTACACACTAGGGACTGTGCTGTCACTTTATAATGTCTAACAATTCTTTTTTTTTTTAAGATTTTATTTATTTATTCATGAGACACACACACAGAGAAGGAGGCAGAGACGCAGGCAGAGGGAGAAGCAGGCTCCATGCAGGGAGCCCGACGTGGGACTCGATCCCAGGTCTCCAGGATCACACTCCAGGCCAAAGGCGGCGCTAAACCACTGCACCACCCAGGCTGCCCTAATGTCTAACAATTCTAAACAATCCTAGGAGGGGAGCACCAATATTCCCTTGGACAGATACGCAAAGTGAGACATGGAGAGAGTAATTTGTGCAGTGTCCCACAGCTAATACATGATAAAGCCAATTATTTCAGCACACAGCTGTCTGATTCCAGAGCCTATCCTATATCAAATGTCAAAAGCATTAATTTTCAAGGCTATAAAGTAAACTAAGTGCAAACAGCCCAGTTTCTGTGCATTTTTCTGTGAAAGACTTGTTTCGATTTCATCAAAATTTTAGAGTTTTGTAATCAGTGAGTCTTAGGGCTAAGAACAACAGGACTAGATAAGCCACAGAACTTGGGATACCTGAGTAGCCCCTTCCTTCCCTGTCTTTGCACCATGATGTCTGGCGGACAGCAGTGCTCTATGTATAAGTGTCAGATGGCACGGGGGCAGGATGGCAGTCCTAAGGTTGCCCTGGACATATGCCAACTGTCTGCCAGGGCTTACTTGAGAGGTGGGGACAAGTCTGGTTGGAGATTTCTTCCTTGGCCTAGCCAGCCTTTGATCCTCAGCTTTGCAGATTCAGAACTCTGATTTTATCAGCAATTAAAGAGCAGATTAATTTTCAGCAATACATTCACATTAACGTAGCACACTTGCCTGATACCTAAGCGCCAAATAACTCGTTGACTTATTACAAAAAATATGAAGGTCAGAAACACAGGAATGTCAAAGTCATCACTAGCAGCGGGTATGCTCCAAGAAGGCAGACCTGCATGGGAGTGAAAACATAACTGGAAGTTTACTTGGTAAATATGGAAAATGAACAATAGGGGTTAATTAGAGGAATCCAGTGTTTATTGGCCTTTGGTAAGAGAGCCAGAGCATTCATCGCCACAAATAAGGGGAGTCTTGCCAAACTGAACAGAACAGAACGGGCTCTCCCCAGGACCTTCGCATTCCATCTCTTGTTTGCTAAGGAAGCTGCTAACTTGGCTACTGATGGACACATTCTTTCTTTGTATATGCTAATGATTTTAATCTGGTTATGGTCAGGTTTTATTGGGCAGACTTCTTTCAGGTGAATTTGAATATTTCCACAAAATCCACTTATTAAGCTTTTCTAAAATTCTTTTTTTTTAATTTTTTTTTAAAAAGATTTTTATTAGAGAGAATGAGAGAGCATGGGTGCAGGGAGGGGCAGAGGGGGGAGGAAGAAAGATTCCAAAGCAGACTCCTCACTGAGCTTGGAACCAGACGTGGGCTGGATCCCACAACCAGGAGACCATGACCTGAGCCCAAACAGACTGAGCTACCCAGGCACCCTTTATTGAATTTTCTAGAAGTTTAATTCTCCTTGGCAATGTTATTGGTGGGCATTCTACTGTAATTTGAGTGTGCTAATAACTAACATTTTCTAAGGCTGTCCAGTAAAAGTCCCTTCATCTTCCAACAGAAATTGCTCCTCATTTTAAAGTTAATATATAAGCTACATGAAGAAAAGGATTGTGAGTCTTTCATGGACATTTTGGGGGTGTACGTACTGCGCTCAAGCTTGATCCATGCAAGTTACCATTTAACAATGAAGAACAAGAATGAATGACTGCTCCCGCCTTCAAGGAGCTTGCAGGTCGGTAAACACACATAAACAAAAACAGATACCATAAAAGTATATCTGTGGGGTTCCCTGGGTGGCTCAGTGGTTTAGCGCCTGCCTTTGGCCCAGGGCATGATCCTGGAGACCTGGGATCTAGTCCCACATCGGGCTCCCTGCATGGAGCCTTTTTCTCCCTCTGCCTGTGTCTCTGCCCCCGCCCCTGCATCTCATGAATAAATAAATAAAACCTTTAAAAAAAAAAAAGAATATCTGTGTTAGAAGACTTGTAAACAGGGCACTTGGCTGACTCTGTCCAGAGAACATGTGACTCTTGATCTCAGCGTGGTGAGTTCAAGCACCATCTTGGGCAGGGCCCCTGCTTATAAACAAACAAACAAACAAACTTGTAAACAAACTGATGGTATTTTGTTCTAAGTGGAAATAAGAACAAATGGTTGTGGAAGCACAAAGAGGACAGATGGCTTCACTGAGAATGAAAAGATTTTTTTAAGTAGACAAGGGAGGAAAGTGCATTCCAACAGATGGAGCCAGGTCAGCTAAGACACAGCTATGTACAGTGTGCAGAAGGAATGGGGAAGGCAGGGCCCTTGGAAGGCTGGGAGCAGAGACACAGGTGAGCTGGAGGGGACGGAGGGGTCTTGAGCTCCTTAGGGCCAAGGATACAGGAGACATTTCCTCCCTCTCCCACGCTCCTTCTCTCATCTCTCAAATATTCGACTCTATGTTTGCCTCCTGTGCCTCTAGTTATTAATTCTCTGTCTCCAGAAGCTTCTGGATCTCAGGGTCATGAGTTTCAGTCCTGCGTTGGGTGTAGAGATTACTTTAAGAAAATAAATAACTTTTAAAAATTGGCTTTTGATTATATAATACATGTTTGTGGAATGATGTTCAAGAGCTATTAGGGCAAAGTATAAAAAATCCTACCTACAATGGCCACCTGCACAGCTCTGCTCTCCTGCTCTGAGGGACAACGGCTGGCACTGGCTTGCTGTGTATCCAGCCATAAAGGCTCTGGATGGGCTAGCATGTGTGTGCGTGCACGTGCTCATGTATAAATGCGTGGCTATGTGTGCATACATTTGTGTCAGTATGATTTTTTACACCAAGGCTAGAATACGACTGCATTTTGCTTTTTTCATTTTAAAATGGATTTAGGATTTTTCTGTATCTGTTCATTCTTGTATTCATTCATCTGACAAGTAGTTACGCAGTGTCTATCAGGTGCCTGGCACTCTTAGGTGGTAAAGATAGAGCGGTGGCAAAATCTCCACCTTCATGGAACTTATCTTCCAGCAGAGGGGTGCAGGACAGACAGACAAGCAGCAAATCAGCAACAAAATGTGTCTAGTATGCTGGATGCTGGTGAGTGCTGGGGGGGCAGACGTAGGAGCCTGGCCCCAGCCGGGTACGTACAGGAGACACAAAGAAACAGAAGCCTGGTTCTTGCGTTGGTCCGGTTGCAACCTGTCGGATAAACACACACCAGTATTTGTTGAATCAGTCCCCTGCTGACATTTACTTCGTTTCCAATATTTTGCAGTTAGTGTTGCTGCATGCCTTGCATCCAGGTCACTTGTCACGCCTAAGAGTATATTTGTAAGTTAAATTCCGAGAAGTGCAAGTGCCAGTCTAGGCATTTGTGCAGTTTTAATTTTAACAGATATTGCTCAGTTACTTCCTGAGGAGCACCCAACTCCAGTTCCTTCAGCGATCAATGCGAGGATCCCACCTGCATCAACACGGTGCTGTCAAGATCTGTGATGCTCGCCAACCGGGCGAGTAAGCCATGCAATCTGGCTACAGGTCTCATTTGCATTTTACTTTTTATGATTCAACTTACACGTCTCCTGTGTCTAAAGATCATTTTTATTTCTTGTAAATTGTTCACGTCCTTTGCTAAATTTGCTACTGTGCGTGTGTGAGGAGCGGGGGGAGTGGTTGCTTTGTTTTGTTTCATTTCTGAGTCGTAGAAACTCAGTAAAGAGTTTACAGCTTTTCTGGGAGGTGGGTAGCGAAAGTTTTATTCAGTTTGTCAGTTCTTTTTAGATTGTGTTTATAATAAATGGTTTTTATAATGCAGAAAATTTTCACTATAATGTAGCCCAATTATACCATCTTTTAATGGTTTCTGAAATTATTTACAGTTTTTCTTCTAGTACTTTAACAGTTTGTTATTTTTTAAAATATTTTATTTATTTATTTGAGAGAGAGAAAAAGAGAGAGCACGAGTGAGGTGAGGGGCAGAAGGAGAGGGACAAGAAGACTCCCTACTGAGCAGGGAGCCCTGCCCGCCGGGGCTCCATCCCAGGACCCTGAGATCATGACCTGAGCCAAAGTAGGACACTTAACCAACGGAGCCACCCAGGTGCCCCAGTGGTTTGTTTTTTAACATTTAAATATTTTATTCATTTGCAATTCATTCTATGGAAGGCGTAAGGCATGGCCCTAATTATTTTTTTTTCCAACTGGTTACTCAATTGTCCCAGCACCATTTATAGGAATAGTTTTTCTTTTTTCCATGACTTTTTTAAAAAAGATTTTATTTGTTTAATCTTTATGCCCAATGTGGGGCTGGAACTTACAACCCAGAGATCAAGAGTCACATGTTCTACTGACTGAGCCAGTCAGGCACCCCTCCATGACTTTTAAACCCCACTTTTTCTCATGACCCAATCAGAATTTGGGTCCAATTTGAGTTTTCTGGACAAATCCATTGATGTAACTGTTCATTTAATCAACAAGTGTATGTTATATGTGCCAAGTACTGTCCTGTGCATGCATTAGTAACATTTTTAAATGTTAGAGTTTATAAAATATAGTGTACTATCTGATAGAAAAATACATCTTAGTTTTCTTGTTCTTTTTAGACTTTCCCAGGCTCTTTTTATTTGCTTATTTTCCATTTGAACTTTAGAATCAGTTTGTCTAGTTCCAAAATAAATCATCTCAGTGTTTTTATTGGGATTACACTGAATTTACAAATTAATTTAGGGAGAATTGACATCTTTGTCCTACTAAAATTTTCTGAACAAAAGCATAGTATGTCTTGTGGTACATCTTTTTTGTGTGTCCTTCAGTAGCGTTTTAGTTTTCTTCATGTAAATTGTTCACACTTTTTGGATATCTTACTTTTTTTCCAGTTTTCTTCCTTCAAACTGGCTACATGGATGCTTTTATGGATTTTGAATTCTCTTATTGTTTCTAACAGTTTTGCACTAAATCCTCTTGCACTTTTTGGCAAACAATCATACCATTAGCAAATAATGATGATTTTGCTTCACTTTTCCAATTTTTTTTTTCATTTCTGTTATCTAATTATGTTGGCTAAACAGTAGCAGTGATAAAGAAGACCCTTAACTTATTCCTGGTATGAATGGGAATGCTACTCCAATATAAGCTTCTTTGTCATAGCTAGAAGCGGAAGGCTCCATTCAGAAATTTTTAATCATAAGAATCTGGGGTGCTTACCAGAGATCAAACTTTTAGAAAATGAGGATGCTCATGTACAGGTTCTTTCTAGTGACGGGGATTTATCCTGGGAATATTTAGGAAAATGAAGGACATAAGAAACCGTGGCAGTGTGGTTGCTAATTACTCACTGTTTCACTCGTTTTCCCCCTAACCTAACACTGTGCTAACGTTTTTACACACATAAGGTTGTTTGAAATTGATCTCTGGGAAACCTGGGTGGCTCAGTGGTTGAGCCTCTGTCTTTGGCTCAGGTCATGATCCTGGGATTTAGGATCGAGTCCCACATCAGGTTCCTCAAAGGGAGCCTGCTTCTCCCTCTGTGTCTCTCATGAATAAATAGATAAATCTTAAAAAAAAAAAAAGAAAGAAATTAATCTCCTCAAGAGTTACAGGTGATATGCAGAGGTAAAATGCCCCAAAGGAAAGTTAAGTGATAGGAGTTTCCATGTCTTGCTCTGAAATGGCTCGTTCTTTTCTTTTTTTTTTTTTAAGATTTACTTATTTATTTGAGAGAGAGAGAGAGCAGAAGGAAGGGGCAAAGGGAGAAGGAGAGAGAGAATCTTAAGCAGACCTCCTGCTGAGCAAGGAGCATGACCTGAGTCATGTGATTAACCAGCTGAGTCATCCAGTCCCCCTGAAATTGCTCTTTCATGAATGTACCAGAGGAGAATAAAACTGCCAACAAAAAGAATAGAAAGGGAGTATGAAATCCAAATAATCCAACAGTATGCGAAGTCATCAGCCTCTAATTAGCCAAAACTTGGCCTTAATTTAGACACTATTTCTTTTCTCTCAAATGCACAAAAAAAAAATGGCTCCTGCTTGTCTAATCTATCAATACTCAAATTTTCCTGTTTAGAAAAGTTGCCTTAAGATTGTTCAAAGGCTTTCATTTATCTTCCACAATGTCTTAAATATAACCAATGTTTAAAAAGATCCATTGAATGAGTGAATGTTAGGCAATTAGTGCACCTTGTGTGGTTTTCTACTAGTGATATGTCGCAATGTCTGTCGAACAAAGGAAGGGCTTTAGTGAGTCTGACATAGGCATCTGCTTTTTAGAAGATAATGAAGGTAGATGTTTGAAAATATATTGCTATGAAACTACATTTATGGGTTGCTGACAATTGGATTAGTGCTGAGACCTTATCAATCATGACAGTTAAAATTTGCTCTTTTATTCAGATGCAATGAAACGCCGGGACACCTGCACCCCGATGTTTATAGCAGCCATGTCCACAATAGCCAAACTGTGGAAGGAGCCTCGGTGCCCATCGAAAGATGATGGATAAAGAAGATGTGGTTTATGTATACAATGGAATATTACTCAGCCATTAGAAACGACAAATACCCACCATTTGCTTCAACGTGGATGGAACTGGAGGGTATTATGCTGAGTGAAGTAAGTCAATCGGAGAAGGACAAACATTGTATGTTCTCATTCATTTGGGGAATATGAATAATAGTGAAAGGGAATATAAGGGAAGGGAGAAGAAATGTGTGGGAAATATCAGAAAGGGAGACAGAACATAAAGACTCCTAACTCTGGGAAATGAACTAGGGGTGGTGGAGGGGGAGGAGGGCGGGGGGTGGGGGTGAATGGGTGACGGGCACTGAGGGGGACACTTGACGGGATGAGCACTGGGTGTTATTCTGTATGTTGGTAAATTGAACACCAATAAAAAATTTATTAAAAAAATAATAAAAAATTTGCTCTTTTGCTGTTTTGTGTGTTTTTTTTAAACACCCCAAAGTGACTGTAACTCTGTAAATCAGATATTCATTAACAGCGTGCGTGTTAAGGTAAGGCGATATCTAAAACCCCAAACTGCTGTCTTTTCAGAGCTTTTAGGTACTGCTTTTTTTCAAGTTGCAATGTAGGAATAAGAGTTGAATAACGTATGTACTACTCTACGTGGAGAAGCTGAAACTTGGAAAATGTTAACAATCTGCAAAAGGTTTGTCAAAACAACCCCTTTGTTTTAAGTCTCTAGACTTTATTTGGAAGATCTAAATGGTTTAGTTGTCACAATACAGGATCACTTACCTCCATGGGTTAATTCCTACCTCAAGTTCCTGGCTGCCCTGTGGGGTCAGCAGCTTTCAAGCTTTGGGACCAGGATCCACACTGATAAATGTATTACACTGTGATCTTCGGCATACGTGCATATACCCATTCGGTTTCTTAAAATAACACTTAAACCATCTGCGTGCTTTTCTGTTCTTAATGCAGCCTATCCTGCCTATCCTATCCCATTCTGTTCTATTCATTTAAGAACTTGCTCGTTGTGACTTGCTAAACTGATTTCATAACTCTGCAGATTGAAAAACAGTGCTATAAATCAGTGCTTCTCAAATCTTAATGCTCATCCAAATCACCTAGGGATCATGTTAAAAATGCGGATTCTGATTCAATAGGGCTGAGAACCGGCACTTTTAAGAAACTCACAGGTGCTGCTGCTGCTGCTGGTCTGTGGACCACACCTGGGAGGAGTCAGCCTACAGGTATTTTTCTCCTCCCCCCACCCCCCACCCCCGGCTCCTGCCCCCAGCCCAATCTCTGGTTTAATTGGCTGAGGCAAGGGTCTTAGAATTTTAGTATAAGGCACAGAGATTTACCACAGGCATGGCTACCTCGTTGAGAGAGGGCTGGGCCCATAGTAGGCCCTGAGAGCAGCAGGGACTCCTCTAGTTCAGCCACGCGCAGGACAGACATTGAGGTCCATTGCATCTGTTTAATGAAAACTTATTCATTTTAAGCTAACTGTGCACCAGGCCCAATTCTAAGACAAGCTAAGTCCTTCTTGTCATATTTCACATTTTTCTAGGTGGACGGTTAAATGGCTAATTCCAAGTTGTGCTAGGCGCAAGGAAGAGAAATGAAGCTGGCTGAAGGAAAGATCCTGGGAGTGTGGGGCTCTGCTCTGGAGGTTTCAGGGTGGGTGTTCAGTCAAGGCCTACCTGGGCCAGCGACACTTGACAGAGACACGAAGGAAAGGAGAAAGCCAAGGGAAGATCTAGAGGAAGGACAATTGAGGCAGAACAAAGACACAGGTCCTGGGGAGCGGGGAGAAACTGGTAGTGTCTCAGGGTTAAGATGGTAAGGCTCAGGAGAACAAAAGGAGAGTCCAAGATAAGTCAGTGAGGTAAGTGGCCCTGATTATACGGGAGGTGATAGGCTGAGGTAGACTTGGATTTCACCCCAAGGGTGACAGGAAACATTGGAGGGTTTTGAGCCAGGAAATGACATGGAATTTCAGTCTTATTTTATTTATTTATTTATTTTTAAAGATTTTATTTATTTGTTCATGAGTGATGCAACGAGAGAGAGGCAGAGACAGAGCCAGGACCCCGGGATCACGCCCTGAGCCCCCCAGGCACCCTGAAATTTCAGTCCTAAGGGATGCCCCTGGCAGATATGCGGTGATCCACTAAGGACGGACGGGAGGGGAAAGTACGCAGACAGGCAGGACATCAGAGCAGTGGCCGTTGTTTCCACGGGTGGGATCGTGCCCATTTATTTTTTAGAACAGGGAATAAATTCAGGTATTTTGACTATGAAATGATACGCAACTAAAACTACAGAGACGTGCATTTATATCATGAACTTTTGTTGATAACTGATACCTAGTAATGCAGGATGCCACATTCAACAAAAAATAAGTCACTTAAAAAAAGACTATGTTTTTTGCCCCATCTTCCCACAAACCTACCCTTCTAGGTGAGCTCCAAACCTGCACACCATCACATGAACTCCATCCCTCCATGTCCAGCTTCTAGAGTTGGATATTTCACCTGCCTCGAATAGTCAAGCATCCCATGTACAGCAGAACAGGAACGTGGCTTCTGTTCTAAATAATAAAGTAAGGCAAATATAATAATAATAATAAAGTAAGGCATAATGCTTAAAAGTACCATTTCCCTCCTCTCTCATAGGTGATAACCTTTTCCCTCCTCACCCTTGGGCCCATATCTGATCTTTCTGCTGTGTTCCTGATCTTATTTCCCATAGTTTACTAAGTCTAAGATGTCATCTTGTAGTTGATGCACGATTATTTATTGTCTCGTGGAGTAAGAACAAAAGTACTGAAAACATTTGGTAGACATACCACGGAATAGAAGATGGGGCTCAATTTCAGAGATGTTTATACGTGAAAAGAAAAGTATGCTTTTAAGGATTAATGAAATATATATTATTGTAATCCTTCCGGTCAAAACCTGGAGGTAATCGTAGGCTCCCCTCTGTCAAGTCCCATATGCCATCAGTAACTCCTCCCTGGAGTTTCAACTTCCCAAATCTCTTAAATTTCTGCCCTAGCTCCCATTTTGGAAACTCTTAACTGTTCTAACCTGGATGACTTATTTAACCACTAAGTCATTCTCCACAATAAAAGCGGAATGACATTTTAAGATATAAATCTGATGATTACGTTATTGGATTAAAATCCTTCATTTTTGCCTAGTGTGCTTCAGGGTGAAGTCTAATCTTAGCATAACCTAAGTGAACTTTGGAATTAGGTCTCTGGCTCCTTTGCAAGTAGGTTCAGGTACATAAACCAAACCAGGATATACAAATTATATTCTCTCCTTCTGTAGTGGCTTCCTTTGCTTCCTTTCTGCCTTAAAAATACCTATTTATTCCTCACGAATCAGCTGAAATGTCACCTCCTAAGTGAACTCCCTTGGATTCCCTGTGTGGGAACTAAGTGCTTATTCCTCTGTAGTGCTTGACTTCTAGGCCCCTACTTTAGTCATCACCAGACAATTTTATAATTGTCTGTAGTTTTGGATTATGAGCCCCTCAAGGTCAACCACCACATTTAACCCATTTTCATATATTTTACCATTAATCCTGGCACACAAGCAGACACTTAGCAAATGTTTGCCAAGTGAATAAGCTAATGATGTAAAACTGAAAAAGAACCATCCTTACTAAATAATAAGTTCAAAGTTATGAAACATCTTTCACTCCAGCTTTGAAGAGAGAGTCAGGCTGAAGAAAAGAGTTGGCCCTCTTGCCCTCCTCAGCCCCTAATGTAAAGTCTACTGGTGTTGCATGGAGTCCCCGAGCATGATGGGGTCCTGGGACCCTTTGTTTCCTCAGGCTCCCTAAACCCATGTTTGTGAAGCCACAAACCCAGGTGGCCACAGAACTTGGAGTGCCTTTTTGTTGGCCACCTCCATACTTAAGAAATCTAGACTGATGATCAGTTCATCCATATGGCTAATCATTAGAAATTATTTTGTAGAGGGGCGCCTGGGTGGCTCAGTTGGCTGAGCATCCAACTCTTGATTTTGGCTCAGGTCATGATCCCAGGGTGGTGAGATCGAGCCCTATGTCTGACTCTGCTCTCAGTGGGGAGTCTGCTGGAGATTCTCTTTCTCTCCTTCTGCCCCCACTCCCGCTCACATGTTTGCATTCTCTCTAAAATAAGTAAATAAATACATACATATTTTTAAAAAAAGAAATTATTTTGCAGAACTATCAACTACCATTTCAAAAAAAAATCATAATTGGTAATTTGCAAAGTTAGTCAACAATAAGATGAGAAAGCAATAGCCCCTGGCAGGTTTTTATTTACAACCCTCCCTCCAGGACATATGGTCAGAAACCAGAAAATTCAAAGGAAAGTTTAATAGTTAAGTATATAGGCTCTCCTTTAAATTCTTCCAGGACCATTATGATGTTGTTGCTTTTTTCATTTTCTATCTTTCTAGACCTTACTGTCATTAAAGAGTGTCAGTACCTTGTGGGTACCTGATACATGTTGATTGGAAAATGTTGAAAAAGAAACTGACTTTCAAAATTTTTCCAACTTTATTTTGGTTTGGTTTTGTTTCTTTCAAACCTGGATAAATAACAGGAAAAATATACTCACTATAAACCACTAAAATCATGACTGGTATCCCTTTGTCCCTATGTTATTCAATATAAGTATTATAATAAATGTACAAAATGATGTTCAAAGGTAGCAGGTCAGAAGGCAATAGGCCTGTATTACAAGAAAGGTGAGACCCAAATTTCTTATTCTATTTTTCTACAGACTTGTAAAAGGATTGAACATTAGGAGAGAGCATATGGGTGTTCAAGAAATGAAGGAAGATGAAAGAACAGAGTTATATTGAGAAAGCATATTAAAAAAATATATTGGGGTGCCTGGGTGCCTCAGTGGTTGAGCATCTGCCCTTGGCTCAGGATGTGACCCTGGAGTTCCGGGATCGAGTTCCAGATCAGGCTTCCTTCATGGAGGCTGCTTCTCCTGCCTGTGTCTCCCTCTGCTCTCTCTCTCTCTCTCTCTCTCTCTCTCTCATGAATAAGTACATAAAATCTTTAAATAATATATATAGATATAGATATGTAGATATATATGATATATATGAAATTGCCATTTTCATGAATGGTTGGATATCATCAATTTCATATGGTTCTATAGAATACAAAAAGGAAGGAAAAATGGAGGGAAA